GATCAATATTGCCATTGATCAAAGATCAATGAGAGACAATGACTGGTCACAAAAGGGGACCTCCTTTTCCTCTTATACAGGGAAGTGTGTATGGATATATGAGGCAGGGATGACAAAGGGAAGTTTCTCCTCCAACTGTGGATCCTAGCCTTGCTTACTGATATTAAACAATTCCTTGCCATGTCCAAGCAACAACTGGGAAAGGGGCTTAATACCTAACACTAAAAATGGGTCTGGTAGATAGCAGCTAAGAAATGAAGTTTTAACCTTCCCCTCCAATTCATGATTTTTAAAAAAATAGATAATCTATTTCACTTTCTCTCAGCCTCAGTCTTTTTTCCCTGCAACATGGGAAAAATCATTCTAGCCCAGGGATGTCAAACTAGCGGCCCGTGGGCCGGATGAGTCATGCCTTGGCCACACTAAACCAGGCCCACCGTGTCATCGCGAGATTTTTTTTTATTTTTTTAAATTTGGTTTGTATGCCGCCCTTCTCCGGAGACTCAGGGCGGCTTACAATGCGTTAAGCAATAGCCTTCATACTTTTGTATATTTTATACAAAGTCAGCTTATTGCCCCCACAAACTGGGTCCTCAATTTACCTACCTTAGAAAGGATGGAAGGCTGAGTCAACCTTGAGCCTGGTAAGATTCAAACCTGCAGTAATTGCAGGCAGCTGTGTTAATAACAGGGTGCTTTAGACCACTGTACTACCAAGGCTCAGAGATTGATACCTCTGTTCTTTAAAAAAGGTTATTTTCTCTGAAAAATGAGAATTACCTAGGTCAGTGATGGCTAACCTTTTCCAGACTGAGTGCCCAAAAAAGCCTGCACGCACGCACAAGAACACACACGCGTGCCCAACCCCCCAAAATGCAATGCACGTGTGGCCCCAGTGCATGTGACCCACCCCTGCACATGTGCGAGTGGCCTCCACGCATGCACCACGCCCCCCCCACGCATGCACAGCAGAGACCCGATGACCAGCTGGCTGGTGGGAGGTGTATGCGCATGCGCGGCAAAATTGAACTGGGACGACGGCTCGCGTGCCCACAGAGAGGGTGCTGCGTGCCACCAGTGGCACGCGTGCCATAAGCTTGCCATCACGGACTTAGGTAATGCATAGAAACTTACTAAAATGCCTGAAAGCTCTATCTAAAACGAGAAGAGACTACTTCAGATTGACTGAATTTGAACACTATGGAAGAAGAAGAAGAAGAAGAAGAAGAAGAAGAAGAAGAAGAAGAAGAAAGAAGAAGAAGAAGAAGAAGAAAGAAGAAGAAGAAGAAGAAGAAGAAAGAAGAAGAAGAAGAAGAAGAAGAAGAAGAAGAAGAAGAAGAAGAATTTCCTGACATTGACAGCAATTAATCAATGGAACAGCTTGCCTCCTAGAGTTATAGGTGCTCCATCACTGAAGGTTTTCAAGAAAAGACTGGGCAACCATTTGTCCGTGATGGTAGAATTCTCCTGCCTTGGGCAGAGGATTGGATTAGAAGACTTCCAAGTACATTCTAGCCCCGCAATGGCGAACCTGTGGCACGCGTGCCAGAAGTGGCACGCAGCGCCTTCTCTGTGGGCACATGAGCCGTTGCCCCAGTTCAGTTCCGCCACACATGCGCACATGCCTCCCGCTGGCCAGCTGGTCTTGGGATCTCTGCTGCGCATGCACGGGGGGTGGGGGCTGCATGGACATGCGCAGGGTGCATGCACAGGGCCGCACACGCATTGCATTTTGGGGGTTTGGCCGTGTGGACATGCATTTGTGCACAAGGGCCTGGTGGCGCAGTGGACTAAACTGCTGCTGTTAAAGTAGTACTTAGCTGCCAGCTGCCTGCAATTACTGCGAGTTCAATTCTCACCAGGCTCAAGATTGACTCAGCCTTCCATCCTTCCGAGATAGGTAAAATGAGGACCCGGTTTGTGGGGGCAATAAGCTGACTTTGTATAAAATAGAACACCACTTAGGGGGGGCCAAAAAGCCCTACTAAGCAGGTATATTACAAAAGTATGAAGGCTATTGCTTAACGCATTGTAAGCCGCCCTGAGTCTCTGGAGAAGGGCGGCATATATAAATTGAACTAATTAATAGATAGATAGATAGATAGATAGATAGATAGATAGATAGATAGATAGATGATAACTAACTAACTAACTAACTAACTAACAAATAAATAAATAAATAAATTTGTGTGCGCATGTGCTTTGGGCCCTCAGTCCAGAAAAGGTTACCCATCACTGTTCTAGCCTTATGATTCTAAGAAAGTAGCTTGAAATTGCTGAGGTTTTATTGTGATGCATTCTTCTTTTTTCAACCGAAGTGTTAACCCACTAACAATAAGCAAAGAAGCAGGGAAAGAGAAGGGAGTTCCTTTCAGTCCTTCTGTTTGTTTAAGTCCTGCTGCTTTCAAGAGCTGGACTTTTGACACCCTCGTCCTCTATTTTGCAGCCCCAAAGATTTATCAAGCTGCCAAGGCTGGGTCAGGCTCCCATGTTCAGCTCTGCAGGCCTCAGGTTTCGCAGGGCCAGATTAAAGAGTCAATAAGTTAGCTGCAAACCCAACCTCTTCCATAGAGCACCCCCCCGCCCACCCATGGAATTTGACAATCTGGTGTCATATTTCTTACACCTTGATGGTCAGATCCCAGAGAGGGGGAAGGAAAGAAAAGGCTAATCCCAAAATAATCCTTAAACCCACTTGCAGAAGGACGTACACCCTGGAGTTGTTATTCCTTGTGGGAGGTGGAAAGGGGTGGGGGGAAAGCCACTGTCTGTGATACCCGGAAGTCTTTGTCACGGCTTCGGCCAGAGCTGCAACTAATGGCTGATGCCAGGCTCTGACAACGCCAGAGGGGAAGGAAAAGGAATCCCATTGGCCAGGAGCCATCATGTTAAGCACACCAGCCAATTGTCTCTTAAGAGGCCAGGCAGAGGGAGGGTAAGGAGGAAAGACCGAGGTTAGCTTTGGCCTCTGAACTTGCTCCCTGTCAAGGCTGTGTGTGTGTGTGTGTGTGTGTGTGTGTGTGTGTGTGTGTGTGTGTGTATGTGGGCGCGCGTGCGCTTTGTTGTTGTTTTTCCAGAGGCATGCAAAAGTAATTGTAAAAACCACCGAGAGTTTCCCCTCGGGGCCTGGGAAAGTGCCAGGCGGAATCCTGGCAGGATTGATACCGGAGAAGCCAAGTAGACCTCAACTTGGAGCCAAGATACAGAGGACAGCATCAGAGAGGAAAAGGGACTGTAATTTGGGAGTGAACCATACTGAAAGGGCAGGAAAATGGCCCCCCCCCCCCCCCCCCGAAAGAATGGCAGTAACAACACGGAAGGCATGACGTGATTTTCCAGAGGACATTTTTAACCCATCTTCCAACTTTCACAAATAAGAGTTCTGGATTGCAAAGACATGTAAATCTGAGAGCCACCAAAACTTCCTGTTTTGTTTTTAGAGGCTTTTAGTAGGCTAAGTCAGCAGCCACCAAACGTTACACCGAGAAATAGATCCTCAGCCTGAGAAACAAATTCTAGGATAACTAATCTGTCCCGGTATAAAATCTGACAATATTTTCCCCAAACCCACCTGGAGAACCCCAAGTTGGGGTGGGTGCAGTCTGATGAGATTGAGAAAAATAATATTTCTCAACTCTACCTGAATAAGTAACATCTGCTCTTAAGAAGAACTTCCAGATCTCTGTTTCTCCACCTTAGCAACTTTAAGATGTCTGGACTTCAACTCCCAGAATTCCCCAGCTAGCCATGGATGGCTGTGGAATTCTGGGAGTTGAAGTCCACACATCTTGAAGTTGTTACGGTGGAGAAACGCTGCTCTATATTCATGGATGTTTTTGCTGAAAATGGATACAGTTGAACTGGATTTTACTTATTAAAAACGGCTAAATGTGGGAAGAAGGAAATGACATTTTATAATTTGGGAGGGCAGAAACAGGATTAATTCGGTTTGTTTCTATTGCAAAGTAGATTGGGAACCACTTCTTTAAATACTGTTTTCTTTCTTTTTTCTTGATCTATTCTGTTGTTCACTCTTTTCTCTATCTATCTTTCCTTTTTTTCTTTTATATCCTTTTCCCTACATTGTCTTTTATTTTTCTGTAGCTTTTAGCTATAATTATTCTGTAGATTTTAACTATAACCTCTATATTCAGAGATATTTTGGCACTTTTTCTTTTTTTTAAATTTGATTTATATGCCGCCCTTCTCCGGGGACTCAGGGCGACTTACAATGCGTTAAGCAATAGCCTTCATACTTTTGTATATTTATGCAAAGTCAGCTTATTGCCCCCACAAACTGGGTCCTCATTTCACCTACCTTAGAAAGGATGGAAGGCTGAGTCAACCTTGAGCCTTGGAGAGATTCGAACCAGCAGTAATTGCAGGCAGCTGTGTTAATAACAGGGTGCTTAGACCACTGTGCTATCAAGGCTCTTAATAGGAATAGTTATTGGGGCCTGGAATAGCAATAATAATAGCATTTAGGCTTATATATGCCCCATATTGCTTTACAGTAAGAGTGCCAGTCCGTGGACTAGCAGAGCTGCAGCATGCCAGAAACTGGGCCACACAAACAAGTGAAGCCCCATCCATGGGATGCAGATAGCGTGCAAAATCACACACATCCTGATCCATGGAAAAACCTCTCTCTACAGACAGGTCCCTGGTGCCCCAAAGGTTGGGGGACGCTGCTTTACAGCACTCTCTGGGTGGTTTACAATGTAGAAGCATTATTTGCATATTGCCCCCAACAATCTGGGGCCTCATTTTATTGATCTCGGAAGGATGGAAAGCTGAATTAACTTTGAGCCCCATCAGAATTGAACTCAAGGCTGTGGGCAGAATTTACCTACAGTACTGCATCTTAACTACTGCGCCACCAGGGCTCCTCCCCAGGAAGGTGTTACCTTTTGTTCTGTATGGCTGCCACTGGAGGCAAGTTTGACTGTGCCACTCCTTCCCAGCAAGTAAATTATTGTAGGCAGTTTATTAATACTCACCTGTGCCTGATAGATGCTGCCAGGATCCCGTGGTCCTAATCCCACGAAGCGGTTCGCAGGGGGTGTGCCTGGGGTGGAGTAGGCTGGGGAAAAGGTGAAGGAAGAAAGAGGCAAAGAAAAGAAAAAGAGAGAGAAAGAGGACAAGAGAATATTCTTTTTAATATCAATCCACTGTTCCGATCAACAGTTCTCATCTCGAGATGGGATCTATTCTCTGCCCCACACTCCAAATATCCTCAGACTTTCTTTCCTTTGCAATTACAGGTAGCCTTCAACTTACGACCAGTTGTTTAACAGCAAAAACATGCCCATTCGGGAGAGTGGATTCAGACTTACGACCAGGAGTGCTGTTCAGCAGGTTCTGACAGGTTCTGGAGAACCGGTAGCAGAAATTTTGAGTAGTTCGGAGAACTGGCGAGTATCACCTCTGGCTGGCCTCAGAATGGGGTGGGAATGGAGATTTTGCAATATCCTTCCCCCAGGAGTGGGGTGGGAATGGAGACTTTGCAGTATCCTTCCCCTGCCACACCCACCAAGCCATGCCCATAAGAACCAGTAGTAAAAAAATTTGAATTCCACCACTGCTTACGACCATGAGATTTGCTTGACAGACGATTGAAAAAAATCAGGTCCGTTTATGTGGTGCCTCGACTTATGTCCACAATTATGACCAAAATTGTGGTCCCAATTGTGGTTATAAATCAAGGACTACCTGTCTGTTTCTTTTCAGCCGTTAACTTATTCTGAATATAGAGCTGACTTCAGTGCAAAATACCCATTGGCAGGAAGGCCAGAGCAACACATCAAGGGCTACTTTTCAAAAGGGGTTTTGGTCCTACCTGATACACCCATTTTCTGCAGGGGACGGAAGAATAGAGCTAAGAGACAAGAGTCAACCTATGCCTGGAGTCTGGAGTCCCCTGCCTGGAAAAGTCAGAAGTTTTCGTATTTAATTTTAAAGGGTGCAACAAGGTCCTTAAGTATGCGCATGGCATTTTGGGGAGCAGCAAAGGAGAAAGGGCACACATTTTGCATCTCTGCTTTAAATCCTGGAATGATTTAAGACCTCTCCTGGGGCCTCAGCCAAGTCTGGCTAAAGAGCAAACTGGAGAATGGCCATTGTCAGAGATGATCTAACTGCATCTCGCACTTGTATATCCTGTAGTGAGGAACAGGTTGAACTACATGGCCTCCAATGATACTTTAGTGGTACAGGTAGGTTCTCTTACATTAGAAAAATAGAAAGCTGACTCAAACAAAGTCAGATCATTGGCATATTTAACCCAAGAGCATCGGCACTGAATTGATAACTTCAGGAAGAATATTTTTCAGCCCTTTTCGATACTCCAGGATTTCCTCCTGAGGCCTTCTACCTCCCAAAATGGTATTCCCGACTCTAGGGGGCGGTGCTCATCTCTGTTTCAAAGCCGAAGAGCCAGCGCTGTCTGAAGACGTTTCCATGGTCATGTGGCCGGCATGACTAAATGCCAAAGGCGCACGGAACGCTGTTACCTTCCCACCAAAGGTTGTCCCTATTTTTCTACTTGCATTTTGTTACGTGCTTTCGAACTGCTAGGTTGGCAGAAGCCGGGACAAGCAACGGGAGCTCACCCTGTTACGCGGCACTAGGGATTCGAACCGCTGAACTGCCGACCTTTCGATCGACAAGCTCAGCGTCTTAGCCACTGAGCGGTGGCTCAGTGGCTAAGACGCTGAGCTTGTCGATCAAAAGGTCGGCAGTTCAGTGGTTCGAATCCCTAGTGCCGCGTCCCTATATTCTCCTACTGCTCTATAATGGCTATGGCTGGAGCAACAACATCAAGCTGGAGTAGATCAGAACTGGAGAAGCTTCTCAAAAACTCATCCTAAGCAACCGATACAAGTCACAGAAATGTAATCTGGAACTGTGCAGTTTGAACTTTTAAGCACGGGTAGCCCTCGACTTGCAACAGTTCATTTAGTGGCCATTCACAGTTGCAACAGCACTGAAAAAAGGGACTTACAACCGTTTTTTCACACTTACGACAGTTGCAACATCACCAACGGTCACATGATCAAAATTCAGACACTTGGCAACTGACTCATGTTTACGACGGTGGCAGGATCCCGGGGGGTCTTGAGATTCATTCCGTTTTGCGATCTTCTGACAAAAACAAAGTCAATGGGGGAAGACGGCTTCGCTTAACAACTGGGTTAAGTGCAACCGTGTTACTAACTGCGGTGATGTGCCGAACAACTGTAGCAAAGAAAGTTCGTTAAAATGGGGAAAGCTCATTTAACAACTGTCCCGTTTAGCAACAGAAATCTTGGGCTCAATTGTGGTTGTAAGTCGAGGACTACCTGTACAATTGGAAGCAAATCCAGGACATAAGCCCAACCCAAGGCCTGTTCAGCAGCAGCATCTCCAGCTGAAAGGATTCAAGCTCACACTGCTAGAAGGAAGAAAACCCACTCTGCCACCCTCAAGGTCATAAACCATAACCCTGCCCTGCCCCCATGAGATTACTGGAACCTTGAATCTTCCCAGGGAATCTATTTCCAATGCTGAGTTAAAAGAAATAGATCGATACACCTGTGCTTTGTTTCTGGCATACAGAAGAGCCCGATGTTACACAGCAGCGGAAGAATAAATTTACACCTTATTTGCTGCAGCAGACAGCCAATATATACTGTTTGTCAACATCTGGCTCAGGTTTCTTTTGACAGCGAGGTTAAGGAAGAAGATATTCCAAGAGAGGCAACCAGGTTTTCTGGATATCTTTTGCCTATGATGCAAACTTACCTGGATTATTCCCCCCCTCTTTTTTTCTTTAATTTAGTAACATATATGATTTATAGGATTGATTAATTGACTAATTTAGAATCAAGAGCTGTATAAATTGAAATGTTATATATTATTGTATGGGTGCATGTACATGCGCACAGACATACATGTTGAATATGTAAACACACACACATACATGTTTACATACACACACACACATGTACATGCATGCATATATGCTCCACTATTATTTTTTGTTTAACTAAACACGCATAAATACTATTCCTATATGCTGTGCTCCTTATATAAATGCTTTCTTTCAACAAACTTAAAAATGCTAACTTGCAAAGTGGTGTGTGCCTGGATGTGCTAGAGGCAGCTACTGGAAATGTTATTCCAGAGGATTTAGGCTTTGTCCCCGTGGATACCTCATCATAGCACATATATGCTGTGAGACCTCTTTCTCCTTTAGCATTCCATTGAAATCGCCCCTATCTCATCCCCAGACCATTTGGGAGACAGGATTAATGGAGAATATACACAGCTCAGAGCTGAATGGTGAAATCCTTGGTGCTCTCTGAGCTTGTTTGCTGTCAGACATTTCATTACCAGACTAGATAACATAATCAGTGCTTCTGAGTGTGTACTGCTTGCTTTCTGCTTATATAGAGTAGCTTGCCTTGCCAATCTTGGTGGGGTGTGGTTTTTTCCCCCCCTTGGTATTTCCTTGAACGATCAAGCAGAGAACAATACCCTAATCAAAGAACTGCGAAGGAGAAAACCACACCACCACCCACACCAACCCTGGCAGGGCAACCTATTGTATATAAGCAGTAAACAAACGCAACACTCACCAAGACTGATGATGTTACCTAGTCTGGTAATGAAATGTCTGCCAGAAACAGCTAAGCTCAGAGAGCAGCAAGGACTCCACAGAGAGAATTAAGATGCCCCTCATTACCCTAGTGATAAAAAGGCATTTCCCCTCTTACTTCAACACCATTGAAGGCCGCTTAAAGTGTGCCAAACCTGTTAGATTTTCTTACTTTGGATGGAAGTCAAAGGACTAGCAGGAATAGTGACTGAGAAGGGAATTAATCAAGGCAAAAAAGGAACTGCAATTGGGATAGCCAATTTCAGCTGGCATCATTTTCTGCTAAGTCAAGGATGGGTAGATAACACTATAACTCAGAGGAAGCACTATGGGGAAAAACCTGTAAAAACTGTGTTTTTTAGAGCATTACTATATCTTACTGATAAATTGCGCAGCAATTACAATGGATCCCTCCCCACAAACCTCATAAATTATTTTCCCCCCTCTGCAGTATGTACTATATAATGATAAGCAAATATTTGCAAATAGGCATAACCACAGCACCTATATGATTTGCTCAAGATCAGTGAGAAGGGAGAAGTTAACTTAGGTCTCATTTGTTACCCATGTAAATTCAGTTTGTTGGAATCTGGAATTCTGGGAATTGAAGTCCACAAGTCTTAAAATTGTCAAGGGTGAGAAATAATGGTTCAGAGTAGACCACGTGCGAAAGAGGAGGAAGGCATCAAGAATGGGTAACTTTGGAAAGCTGAGGAGGAGAGGAGGAGGAGGAGGAGGAGGAGGAGGAGGAGGAGGAGGAGGAGGAGGAGGAGGAAGAAGAGAAGAAGAAGAAGAAGAAGAAGAAGAAGAAAGAAGAAGAAGAAGAAGAAGAAGAAGAAGAAGAAGAAGAAGAAGAAATAAATTTGTGAAAGACTGAAATGTCAGTAAACTGGATAGTTTACTGAGATAGCAGAGCCTGGATAGCTCTGTAGACAAGGCACTGTAATTTAACACCAGCTGTCTGCAATTAAAGTAAGTTTGAATCTTGCCAGGCTCAAGGTTGACTCAGCCTTCCATCCTTTCTAAGGTAGGTAAATTGAGGACCCAGTTTGTGGGGGCAATAAGCTGACTTTGTATAAAATATACAAAAGTATGAAGGCTATTGCTTAACACATTGTAAACCGCCCTGAGTCTCCGGAGAAGATATAAATCAAATTAAAAAAATAAAAAAAAAACGAACAAAAAACTGGAAATATCAGTAAACTGGATGAGTAGAAGAAGCTACATCAAAGCTGATGATATAAGCTCCTAGGAAGACCTCCCATTCTTATTAGAAGAACAATATGTTTTGCTAAGGAACCCCCCCTCTCCACAGCTATTAAGAGCACAGCAGAGGTATTTGCAAGACTTTTTCTCAGCAAACTGCAAAAGGCAAAACAAATTACACCAAATACACAGCCCTTAAAAGCGACATTTGGCTTCTTCCCTGCAATTAAAGAACAATGAGCCAAGGCACATGACCAGTCGAGTTCCAATCTATTAAGCCTCTAAACAAAAGTTTATGCCACTCCTCAGTTTCCAAACAGAGCATTATTGTTTTGTAGACATTTAGGAATATTATCTGGAAAGAAGAAAATGACATGCTATGTATTTTTATTAGTTTGCCTGATAGATTGGGAAAGTGCTAGGAATTGGATTAGGGAGTTTCAGTTTACATTATTTTTCCCCCCGATCAGCAATATTAAGGAAACTGGTTTGATGTGACATCTGACTGCACTGCCAACTAGACAGTAGAAGTCAACAGCCATACACACACACACTGGAATCAAGTCTATAAGCTTCCATTAAACCCAGTAAGATGCCTAGGTAAAGAACTGGTGAAGCATGGAGGAAAATAATAGTATTTTACCAGTAGGTACTAGAAAAACACAGCTTTTTCGAGATAAGGAAAATAAATATCCGTGTTGTTTGACGGAATGATTAAATAGAGAGGATTTGCATAATCAAAGTCATTATAAAGATTAAGAATGAACAAGGCTTCCCTTTACAGTAATTATTATTATTTCAGAGTGGGCTATACTAGCATTAATATTTAGATCATAAGCGAGCAAATTTTCAGAAGGTAAGGAAAACACTTGCCCCTTTTATACAGGATGGGAAATGGAAGATGATATTGTATGGGAGAGCAGGAATAGACAGACAGGGACAAAATCCCAACACTAAGACTTTTTAAAACCCTATCAAAATGTTCCCCAAGTTATAAGCAACATTCTACTTCAGGAAAATCTTGGGAAAACGCTATACCCAGTCATAATGTGCTAGGAATGTGCAGTATTTCAAATTCATTTCCTAAAATTGTCTTCAGAGCCCAGAGGGGCAGGAACAGAGTCTCTCTTCAAGGGATTAAAGCAGCTTTTTTTCTGAGATTGAACAGCAGGTTCTTGGGAAAAGACACAGCTGCTTTAAAAAACTCGAAATGCTGGAGTTATGCTAGTGCCCCTATGTGCTTTGAAGGACCTTTTTGAAATCAAAATAGATGTGCTGTGGCTCAGTGGCTAAGACACTGAGCTTGCCGATCAGAAAGGTTGGCGGTTCGAATCCCTAGTATAGGTCTCCTGTGTGAGCAGGGGGTTGGACTAGATGACCTCCAAGGTCCCTTCCAACTCTGTTACTGTTAAAATGATGTCAGGGGAAATAGAATCCAGGGCAATATTTTTCCAAACTTGGCAAATTTTAACTGGCTAGGGAACTTTATGCTGGCTGAGGAATTCTAGAAGTTGAATCTGCACATCTTAAAATGGCCAAGTTTGAAAAATACTGTTCTGGAATCTGCGTAATGCCACACAAAGTTGCATGGAGGCTGCTTCTCAGAGACCCCAAATTTAGAAGGCCAATCGGAGAGCATGGCTGATAAACTTTTATGTCTGCCATGTAACTACCACCTTTTGCTTCTGGAAAGTTTGGGATACCCTATAATTTTCAAGGAATTGGTCTTTTTCAGTGTCCTTAAACATGTAAAGAAAGAGCCAAATGGAACAACTTCATTCCACAATTGCTCTCTTAAATTCGAGCTTCACTTTGTACGACAGGCATGCAAGGTAGATGATTAGAGGCCTTGGATTATGTTCTACGGAGCTACAAAGGCTGTCTTTATCTGCAACCTGGCGTGTTTTATGGCAGCATGCATGTTTGCATGGGTTAGCATGCATGTTTGCTCAGTTTTTTTTTAAATCACTGATTTAAATCAATGGCCATTTCTGATCATTTAAATGAGTGATTTGAACTTCTGTTTAAATCCATGCACCCTGCTGCCATCTCATCTCAAAATCCTCTCCCCCAGAATGGCCATCTCCCTCCCCCCTCCCACTTGCCCCAAAATCACAAGGCTGCAGAGCAGTCTGAATTGGTGAATATGGCCAGGGAGTAGGGAAGAAGAATTAGTGACAGATGGCAGACAGGTGGACAAGGCCATTTGGGAATGGGTAGGTGCAGGAATGGTGAGTGGGCTTGCTTACTGGGAGACGTCGGCGAGGTGGTCCCTCCCTCGGAAGTTGTCGTGGTAGATTTGGTGTCAGGTGAGATTGCCAGGCGGGGCATACCTGGAGGTGGTGGCGCCAACATCTGGGTAGGAAGGTAATGCCCGGGTACCTTCACTTGACCACCTCCATTTAACTAGGGACACAATATGAAAAAAAAAACACAGAGCAAGCCATTAGCACTGTCCACAGGAGTCACCTGCCCGCCCAGAGGAACCTCCCCCCTCAAAATGGGGACAGTGGGCGGGCTTCACTGGGGACCCTGGGAATCTTGGCCAGCTCACCTGACTGCAAATATGGAAGATCTATTCAATTGTCATGACTAAGAGTAAAATGTACCCTCCATGTATAAAAACTCTTTTACAATCTCACCTAAATGGTCTAGCTCAGGGGTGGGGAATGATGGCCCCTTTACGACCTGTGGATTTCGACTCCCAGAATTCCTGAGCCAACCTGGCTCAGGAATTCTGGGAGTCGAAGTCCACAGGTCGTAAAGGGGCCAACGTTCCCAACTCCTGATCATGTGGCCACACTGGTTTCTAATAAATCTATCAAGCGGCTTACTGTGACACTGTGCTAACAAGCTGCATTTTCTGTGCTCTTTATTACTCTTTAGCATTGCAAATGTAGGTTTATATTTTGCGATTTTTTGCGCAGATTGCCAAAACTGAATTTATAGCCACAGCCACACAAATAACCCAAAATGCTTCATAAAATATCACAAAAAAAGCAACAGTGCTATTATGATATGTGCAGTGGCATCAAAATTCTTTTTCTCATGATTTTTATGTATGTACCTGAATACTGTATATATGTTCGTGGATGTTATCAAAACATTATGGTACACAAAAAGAATCTTGATACATTCATACGTGATCACATAAACTGCTCTCCTATAGCATATTATTTTTACAGTGCCAAAAAGGAAAAAATAGAGAAAGATACTGTCAATTGTGGACTGAATAACATTTGTAAAGTAAAAAAAAGAAAGGAAAGAATGACAAGAATGTTAAAAATTGGGAGGAAATCCAGAGGAATATATTTGAAAAGCATTCTTAGTGCTCCCATTGCAGTTAGCACAGTATTGCCTATATCAGTGGTTCTAAACCTGTGGTCCCTGGACCTCTGAGGGGAGGCCCGCTATCATCACAGAGGGTCGGTGAAGGCTTGAAGAAATGTTATGATTTAAATCTTAAATCTTGGGGGTTTGTGGCCACAAAAGGAATTTAAAGGGGGTCCCTGGTGAAGAAAAGGTTGAGAACCACTCGCCTATGTAATATCATTTTCAGCCAGGGGTGGGCTGCTGAGGGTTCGCAGTGGTTAGGGAGAACCTCTAGCTATGATTCTGTGCAGTTCCAAGAATCCCCAAATCCCACTCCTGGCTGGCCCCGCTCACCCCTCCCCGGAGCTCCCACGCAGCCTGTTTTGGATGCAGGTAAGTGCAGGGTGCGTGTGGAGGCTCGGGGAGGGCGAAAAATGGGCCTACCAGAAGTTTGGGAAGGCCGGAAATGGGCCCATTTCCAGCCTCCAGAGAGCCTTCGGAGCCTGGGAAAGCCGTTTTTGCCCTCCCGGAGGCTCGAATAAAGCCTCTGGAGCCTGAGGAGGGCAAAAAAGCCCTCCTCCCACCCAGCCGTGGTGCAGCTTTAATTAGGAGAACAGTGAGAATATTTACTGTTCAAGCTCTCTCTCTATGACTCTCCACCACCAATCACCACAATCAGTGGAACAACCTGCCTGCAGAAGTTGTGAATGCTCCAACACTGGAAGTTTTTAAGAAGATGTTGGATAACCATTTGTCTGAAGTGGTGTAGGGTTTCCTGCCTAAGCAGAGGGTTGGACTAGAAGACCTCCAAGGTCCCTTCCAACTCTGTTATTCTATTCTATTCTATTCTATTCTATTCTATTCTATTCTATTCTATTCTATTCTATTCTATTCTATTCTATTCTATTCTATTCTATTCTATTCCTATTCTATTCCTTCTGGTCTGACAATTTATGCTACTTTTTCTTTTATCTTATTTAACCTGATAGCTCTTTCAGAGGGGCAGTTGGCATCTTCAGCACATACATAGGTAGTCCTCGACTTACGACCACAATGGAAACCCAAAATTTCTATTGCTAAGTGAGACGTTTGTTAAGTTATTTTTTTTTGGGGGGGGGGTCCCATTTTACGACGTTTTGTGCCACATTTGTTAGGTGAATCACTGCAGCTGTTTAGTTAGTAACACGGCTCTTTAAGCGAATCTGGCTTCTCCATTGGCTTTGCTTATCAGAAGGTCGCAAAAGCTGATCACGGGACCCTATGACACTGCAGCCGTCATAAAGAAGAGTCGGTTGCCAAGCCTCTGATCACATGACCATGGAGATGTTGCAATAATCATTGTGTGAAAAATGGTCAAAAGTCACTTTTTCCAGTGCTGCTGTAATTTTGAAAAGTCGCTAAATGAACTGTTGTAAGTCGAGGACTACCTGTACAGTAGCTGTGTAGGTGAGGCAGATCCTACTACTCCATCTGAGGATCTCAACAGTTTTGTCAAAACTTTTCTTTGATCCCATCCTAAGCATCCTCCAGGCCCCGAACCGGGGCAGTGTCACAATCTATTTCCTTCTTGCACACGTTCGCAGCACGAAGCCTAAATGAGTGTGAATTCATTACCTCTTCACTAGCATTGCTCCGCCTGTGAAAACAGCACGCAAATACAGGGCTTCTTGATCTCACTTTGATTATTATTTATCTAGTCCAAAGAGGATTATACTGTATCTTATTTCAAGATGTACAATGAGACTGTAAGCTACATTTTCCCTTCACTAAACCCTTTACATACCTTTGGTACAAATGGCATTGGGCTTTGTGAACTTGCCTGAGGCATGCTATGCAAATTACAGATAATTACCATCAATGTTTTGAAGATCCGAGGATTTAATCCTCCTCAAACGCACACGTTTTTTTGTGTCCTGTTCAAAACCCACATACGTGCAGGTGGCACTTAACAGTTTAAAAAGTCCTCCATTCCTGATGTACGTGTCCTTGAAGGTTTTTATTTCCCCTTGGTGACAATACAGTCTTCCTCCATGATGGGTTTGGGTATTATTATTTTTTTTAACTTCACAGTCTAACTTAGAGCCATGGTCTCGGATAACTGTAGTATTATTTGTTTATTTGCTTGTTTGTTTGTTCATTAAATTTCTATGCTGCCCATTTCACTGATATAGCAACTCTGGGAAATTTACAATATAATAAAAAGTTTAAAAAAAATACTGAAAAACAATTAAAATTAGAAAAACTGAATAGAAAAGCTAAATGCCAAAAACTAAGATGATGGGCAGCTTAGAAGTGGAGATCTTGAAATTTCATTCCCAGAAACATATAAGCCTTGATCATCAACCTCCGATGTAGTAAGCCCCTCTCAAGACCCCAGGCCAAGCGGCAGAGCTAAATTTTTAGGCTCTTCCCAAAGATCAGGAATGTGAGGGCGGACCTCACCTCCAACGGGAGAATGTTCCAGAAGGTGGAGATCATAGCAGAAAGGCTGTCCTCCTGGACCCTGCCAGCCAAAATTCTTTGGTCAACAGGCTCCAAAGTAGGTGCTTTCTGCAGTAGTAGTAGTAGTAGTAGTAGTAGTAGTAGTAGTAGTAGTATACACTAACAGATCTGACCCTGCTTCTCTCTGTTCAGCCAAGATCAGATGCTGCCTGCTAAGGCTTAGCTGTTTTACAAATGAAATTTCAAGAACAGAAGGACGAATCTCAGCCCCAATAACCATCCTCTGCCCCAATGCCAAGTGTCATCGTTTTAAATTTATTAAGAATAATCGCTTAGAACCAAGCTATGTCATTTTAAAAATACTTCAGGGCATTATTTGAAAGTAAAAATAACTGATGCCAGGACCAAACACAACACAACACAAAACAAAACATAAGAACAATGGTGAGCATTTCAATCAAGTATGAAAGTGGAAATGTGGGTCCAAGATTGAAATGGTACAATGTGGCTTAAACCTTTTTTTTTTTCTTTTTACATTTGGCAACTTCAAAATGAATGGACTTGACCTCCCAGAATTCATGGTGGCTGTTGAATTCTGGGAGTTGAAGTCCACTCGTCTTAAAAGTTGTCAAGTTTGAAAAAACACTGGCTTAAACTTTGTTGCTTAGGGAGTCTGGAAGTCCCAACACATTTAGAGAACACCAGGTTGGAGAAATCTGGCTTTAAGTATAACAGTTAGAAAATATATAAGTATTTTTTTCATGACGGATCAAAAACACTGAAGAGCTAGAGGAACTGCTCGGTTGCATGGGTATTCCAAATAAACTGCCATGCCGTTCCTCCTTGGACTCAGGGAGTCATGAACTAGACCAGGGATCTCCAACCTTGGCAACTTTAAGCCTGGCAGACTTCAACTCCCAGAATTCCCAGCTTGCTGGCTGGGGAATTTGGGAGTTGAAGTCCACCAGGTTTAAAGTTGCCAAGGTTGGAGACCCCTGAACTAGACTGAACAGAGAGGCATTAGGGACTATCCACACCACAAGACAAAAGGCGACAGGAGTTATAACCCTGGCAAGTTCCTTACCGGTCCTGGTTGTTGATTGGATGGGTCACAAGCCAATGAGACGAGGTCTTTCAGAGGGTCCTGTGGATTCAGATGAGGCGGGTACCTTATGGCTGTGTGCTGGAAGTAGGTGGAGGCCGCCTGGGGCAGGATCGAAGTGGTGGGAAAGTGCAGCGCAGAGGAGGGGTGGGGACTTCGAGAGATACCTGCAGAGGGTGAGAGAGAGAGAGAGGAAACTGGGCGGCCTTCATCAACAGCATGCACCCAGACCCTCCTGCTCCCGGGCACCTCTGCCGAAACGATTAGAAGGGCCTTCCTCCATCTTCCTCCTCCTCCTTCTGGAGCAAGCAAACTTCCATCTCCTTTCCCCTCTCCAACTTCCCTGGGCAAGTCAACAAACCCTACAGGAATCTCTCACTCCCATTCATCTTTAGATCATGTTAAGGGGCCAAGCACCACCAACACTATCCTCTGGGGGGCAACATCTGGCCTTTGGCCACACATCCAAAACTGTACTCTGATCCCACAAAATTTCACTGCTAGCTTCAGAAAGGCAGCGGCACCTCCCTTGACTTACCGCATCAGCACTAAATCCCAAACTTCCTAGAATTCTGTTAAATCTTTACAAGTGTGGCTCTGCTGGCCTAAATTTTTAAAACCTAATCTCTCTCTCTCTCTTTTTTGCTTTTTGCAAATAAACCACATGCAACTTTTACTGGGAAATTTTCAAGAGAATTTGGGTTGCTTGATACAGTGAACTATTTTTTCTTGACTTCCACAATTAATCGTATTCTGAAGAATTCTGGAAAAAAAAAAAGCTGAAATGATCTGTAAAAATCCAATTCTAGCCTATCCTGTGCCAGAAAGCTTCCTTCCCTAACTTGGTGCCTTACAGATTACCATGTTGATGGGAGCTGTAGTCCAACACATCTAGAGGGCACCAAGTTGAGGAAGGCTGCCTTTAATTTGAGCAATTCATCTGAGTTCTATAATAAAAACTATCCACTTGGTCTTGTTCTGGTCTGCCAGCAGCCTGAGGAACTGGCAGCGGAGTCGGACAGCAAGGAGGCTGAGGAAGAACATGGGCCAGTCCTGGAGGCTCTGCGTCGGAGGCAGAGATGGGGCCAGGGCCATCCAGAAGTGATGTGCAGACTCTGGAGCCTCCAGAGGCTGAGAGCAGAGAGGCAGAGGAACAGGAGGAATGCATGAGAAGAGCTGCCAGAAGGCAAGAGCTGCTAAAGCAAAAAGGACAACTCGTGAGTAAGGCCAAGAGATGATTGGCCCCTCCCATAAGGCTTAAAAGATCAGCAATGGCTCTTGGGCTCTTTGTCGGAAAACAACGTTGATAGATTTGTTTCTTGTCTTGCTGCATTTATTTCTTGTCGGCGTCTTCTGCTTCTGAACTTTTGCCAAGAAAAGCCTTTGGCAGGTTGCCTAATTAGACCAAGGTTGATGATAAGGCTGAAGAATTGTGTTATGAAGAATTTGTTTTGAATTAGTTCGGACCAGGGGTGAAATGCTCCCGGTTCGGACCGGCTCGGGCGAGTAGGTAGTGATGGCAGCGGGCAGTTCGGAGAACCAGTAGCAAAAATCCCTGCCCCTGCCCCCCATGTTCTTTTTTTAGACCTAGCCATTTAAAGTTTAGGAAGTTTTAAATTTAGCTGCTTTTATATAAAAATAAAAATAAATTAAAATAAAATAATATTTGTGCAGCTTTCTGAGATTTAGTGTGTTTCTGTAGTGTTTCACTCTAACTACACAAACACACAAAATCTCACAAAGCTGTATGTGGAATTTTGTGTGTGTAAAGTGTAAAAGTTGGTTTTTGGGGCTTTTTGTGGCTGTGTGAGGTTCCTGCTTGTTGCAGGGGCCATTCTGGGTCTAGCACAGCTGCTTTTACATTGTGGGTGAGCCAGTTGTGTTGTGTGTGTTGTGTGTGTGTAAAGTGTGAAAGTTTTTTTGGGGCTTTTTGTGGCTGTGTGAGGTTCCTGCTTGTTGTGGGGCCATTTTGAGTCTAGCAACAGCTGCTTTTACATTGTGGGTGAGCCAGTTGTGTTGTGTTGTGTTTTGTACGTTAAAAAGAGGCAAAGAAGTGACATTGACTTGGCCACGGCCACCCAGTCACCTTACCACCAAGCCCCGCCCACTAATTAAGCCACGCCCACAGAACCAGTAGCAAAAAAAATTGAATTTCACCCCTGGTTTGGACTACACTGAGAATGAGTTAATTCTCAGCTGATTTAATAAAGTCTGTTTGTTTCAAACTGATTGCGTTTGATAATACCTACTTGGGCCTGAGTCACAACAGGTCTGCAGACACAGTTAAATTCAAAAGATGCTGAACAAATGTAATATTATAGAGAGAAAAGAAAAAAATTGGATGTAATGCAGAATCATAGAATTGGAAGGGACCTTAGAGGTCTTCCAGTCCACCTCCCTGCCTCAAATAACTAAACTACCAGAATTCACTCATTTCTGCAAGAGAGATCCAGTTTTCTTCTCACAGCTGAAATGTTAGATGCGTGTACAAGTAGTCCTCAATTTACGATTCTTCATTTAATAAGGCTTGAAAAAGTGATCTGTTCTCAATGTTCTGACCGCCACATTACCCTGATGGTCATTTGATCATAATTTGGGCCCTTGCCACTGGCTCATCGTTATGATGGTTGCATTGATTGTGGTTTCCAACTTTCCCAACCAGCTTCTGACAAGTGACATTAATTGGGGAAGCCAGATTTTGCTTAACATCCATGTGATTTGCTTAACAACCACACGAATTGCTTAACAACTATGGTAAAAATTACTGTGAAATCATTTTGTAAAATGATGACTCGCCTCACGACCGCATCGCTTATCAACCAAACTTCTGTCCTGTTCCCAACTTCATAAGTTGAAGACTACCTGTATAAGCAGTGGAGGAATAGTTTAGCTAGCAGTCTTACCCTCTTCCTATAGTTCATAATGGCAATTTTCTCTTCATTTGAAATGTTGCATTATGTGCACGTTCATCGCTTGCTTTGAGGTTTCATTTTCATTTCTTTATTTTGCTTTTTAAGTGCAAATAATTCTGGAAATTGAGAAAAGGGTGGTTCCCTGAAGACATAACAAGCACCTACCAGTCAGGGCTGTGTGCACAGCTGGATTCTGTTACAGAATTCTGGGATAATTTCTTCCCAAAGTTAGACCCCTGAGAGGAATAGCTACATTTTTGCTGATTGCAGCAAGGAGGCTTCCAAAGCAATCTTTTCCTCTAATAAAGTTATATTTATCTTAACTCAGGCAGTTTCCTTTGATGGGGGCTGACCTATGCTAGCATTAGCTGCTGAATCTAGTGTATTTTTGAACTCTTCCAGAACTATTGAATCTTCCATCCCATCTCCTAAAAGCATTCTGGCAATTGTTGCTTAGGAAGATTAATAGCAACTCTCCCTTGGAGAACTTCTGACAATGCAGCTTCTTCTCGTCTCTTCCCACATGTTGCTGAACTGCCATTCTTAGGAAGAAGGAATTACTATGAAAAAGAATAAGCAAGCGACCTTTTTATAATTAGATCTTTGAGACCTATGCCTACCCACAGGCTGTTCTAAAATTGGCAAACAGGCAGAACGAAAGGAAGGAAGAAAAATGAAGGTTTTGAATGCTCCCCTAGATGAGGAATTCTTAGAAAAGAAGCACAATAAGAAGACACTCGTGTCTGATGCGCTCGTTTTTCCATGGAGATATTTAAAAATAAGTAACATTATTAAAACTATCAGAATCCCCTCCTCTACACTTGAAATAGTAAAATAAAGATTCTATATCAGATCGGCATAATAGCCATAATCATCCTTGCCCCTCGTAAAGCAGCTTACATACCACTGTGTACGGCAATGACAGGACGGTGATGCTGAGTAAACAGCCGGGGTGAAGTGTCCTGCGGAGATGGGCTGTTGAAGGGAGACTTATCCATTTCTGTCTTTTTCACAGTTGGAGAGATGCCTGGAGAAGAGATGGGAGGAAGAGGCGTGTTACAATGTCATTGAAATAGTTGGTTACTGGCATCACTATGCCCTCCATAACAGTGTTTCTCAACCGTGGCCACTTCAACCACGGACTTCAACTCCCAGAATTCCATAGTCAGCATTGTTGGCTGAGGAATTCTGAGAGTTGAAGTCCACCCACCTTAAAGTGGTCAAGTTCGAGAAGCACAGCTCTAAATCGGGGAAGGTTCCCAATCTTGGCAACTTTACGATGTGTGGATTTCGACTCCCAGAATTCCCCAGCCAGCCATGGGTGGGGAATTCTGGGAATTGAAGTCCACATGTCTTTAAAAGTTTCCAAAATTGGGAACCCCCAGTTTAAACTATATTTCTGTTCTTTCTGTACAGCTTGGAAACCATCCTTTAACGACAGCATGTTTTTCAGAGATCCAACCAACGGAAAAATGTTAGCTTTTCCTGAGTTGTTAGTATCATTTACAGCAGTGCCCTGGACTTCCCAACTATAAAAAGGGACCAGGTGTTTTTCATGCAGCCCAGTTCATGTATGTGACTTGGTTTTATTCATTTTATTTATATTTATTTATAATTTAATTTATATACCGCCCTTCTCCCGAAGGACTCGGGGCGGTGTACAGCCAATTAAAAACACAAGGTACAAACAACAGTTTTAAAATAGTTAAAAGTATTAAAACAATTTCGGCCCGAATTTAAAATCCAAAATTTAAAACACCCAATTTAAAATCATTTACATAGATAGCCTGCCTGGCGGAACAGCAGGGTCTTAAGGGCACAGCGAAACACACGGAGGTCGGAGATCTTGCGTATTTCCGGGGGCAGTTCGTTCCACAGGGCAGGAGCTCCCACAGAGAAGGCCCTTCCCCTGGGTGTCGCCAGCCGACATAACTTGGCCGATGGCACCCTGAGGAGTCTATCGAGCATATCTTGTTTTTTGTCACTTGGCATTATCCTTTCCAGTGGTGGGTTTCAAAATTTTTTACTATCGGTTCTGTGGGCGTGGCATGGCTTGGTGGACATGGCTTGGTGGACCTGGCACGGGAAGGATATTGTAAAATCTCCATTCCCGATCAGCTGGGACTCGGGAGGCAGAGAATACATGGGGGCGGGTCCAGTCAGAGGTGGTATTTACCGGTTCTCCGAACTACTCAAAATTTCCGCTACTGGTTCGCCAGAACTGGTCAGAACCTGCTGAAACCCACCTCTGATTTTTTTTCCCATGTCTGTGTAGCTCTCTCCTTATGGCTCATCGGTGCTGAGCCACTATGAGCCACTATTCCCGGATACTGTTCAAGATTTACCTGTAGAAGTTTTTCTATTTTAATTTGTGACACATTGATGGAATGGAGCTTGCTCCTAGGTGGTTGTTTGGAGAATCCTACAAATGGGCTTCTATCCTTTCCTATAAATATCAAAGCCCACCCCTCCCCCATATGTGTGCATGTCTGCAACAGGATGCACTTAATCTCCTCTATCTGCTGGCTCAGATTTATCTGGGCCAGTTGGTTTAGTCCATGCCACTAAAAGGTTTAGTCCCTTCTCAGACACTCATTTGGAAGGATTTTACAGAACATCCAGGACAGGATTGAAATTAAACCTCTTCTTGCAAAGCATTTTAAACATATTTCTACTTAGGGAAAGAATAGGTGGGCATATTCCCCCCTTTTTTTAATTCTTTACCTAAAGGCAGACAAATAATAACCACAATAATATTGCAATGTTTATTGAATTAATTGTTAACTGATTATTTTTTTAAAAAATCCCTTTTGAATGAGTAAAAATAAAATAAGTTTTTAAACTAAATTTATTATTATACTATTTTAACTAAATAAATAGTTTTATTTTTTTAAAAAAACATTTAACATCTATATATGTTAAAACATTTATAACATCTGCAAATGGAAAACATTTTCTCAAATGAGCACAGAACCACCGAAAAACCAGATTCACTTAATGACTACATTGATTCTTTTAATAACTATTGCAAAAAAGGCCATAAAATTGGTCTCAATTAACTGCCTTCTTTAACAATGGAAGTTCTGGCCCCAACTGTGGTCATAAGTCAAGGACTACCTGTAGATAGCTTTCAGAAGCAGCCCTGCTACAATCAGAGCTAATAAGTGTTGATCCCCAGGATTTCCATGCATTGGTCCAACCAAGGGTGGGTTCTAAAAATTTTTACTACCGGTTCTGTGGGCGTGGCTTATTTTATGGGCGTGGCTTGATGGTCATGTGACAATTCTTTAGGATTTAGCAGAGATACTGGTCTACCAGGCTTTCAACTGCTTGCAGAGCTGTGGCACCGGTCTACCCATTTGTTTTTGGAGGCCCCGGTCTACTCATTCGTTTTTGGAGGCACCAGTCTACCCATTTGTTTTTGGAGGCACTGGTCTACTCATTCGTTTTTGGAGGCACCGGTCTACCCATTTTTTTTGGGAGGCACCGGTCTACCACCACACTGCCTTTTAACACTGATCAGCTGCAGGGCGGCCCTTTGAAGCCCCGCAGCAAGAGTTTTTTTCCTTCTAGCCTATAAACTGGGACTCGGGAGGCAGCAATAGATTGGGGGTGGGGTCAAATAAAATGTAAGAATAACATGGGGGGGGGGCAGGGGGGGCGGGAGGGCCCAGCTCCTGAACAAAGAGAACCAGTTTGGTGATGTCATATCGTCACCACTACTGGCTCGGCCAAACCACTGGGTCCAATCCTTTTTTGAAGCCATCCAAGCTGGTAAGCAGCACAGCAATTCATCAGCAATATTTTCTCAGTATGCATCAGTTAAAATATTACATATTGAAAATAATCTTGATGTAATCATATTGTATGTATAATCATATAAAGATAGCTTTCCCCCTCTTCTGTATACATATATGTATATAAAACGTGGGTGCTGAGAAGGGAAAAAAACAAGTGGAAGTTGTATACATTAAATTAGTAACTCTCTGATTCTGGAATTTAGTCTCGATATTATTCTACTTGATTCAGAATTAATCCTGTATTGTTAGTGAGACTGATTGTGCCCTCCTGCAGACTGTGTTTTTTTAAAATGACTTGAATAATCTTTTATTGTTTTTAAACTATTATTGTGGATAATTTTGTTTATTACATTTGCATGGTTTCATGTTTTTAAATCTGTATGCAGCTCAGAGTCACATGCGCGAGATGGGCAGCTGTATAAATGTACCAATAACTATATAAAAATTAAAATACAGTAGATAACACATTCCCAAACAATATGGTAATGGAATTAGAAAAAAAAATTAATTTTCCTCACTCTTCAAAGAAAGTTGTAAAAATCACAATGATTTGTTGATTTGACGGCTAAGTATTTCCTAGTTGTTATCTATCAATACAGTATTTCCGGCATATCTCTATATTCAGTAGTTCAGACAGATCTGCAACAATTACACTGAAGGTGTCCTTGCTGCTGTCTGAGCTTGGTTGTTTTCTTGCAGACGTTTCATTACCAAACTAGGTAACATCATCAGTGTCACCTAGTTTGGGTAATGAAACGTCTGCAAGAAAACAACTAAGCTCAGAGAGCACCAAGGGCCCCTCATTTCAACCCTGAACTACAAATATTCTCCTTTATGGGTACCAATTACACTCTTCACATGATTGATGGCAGCTCCTAGGGGCCTGGGATGCTGGCCCTGAAATAGGAAAACAGGAAGCCAGTGAAAATGCTAAATATTCTGCAAAATGTCTCACAGGGTGCTTTTTTTCCCCCCAAAAGGCAACTGGACGGTTGTTGTTTTTTTCCTTGAGGAAGAAGAAAAAGACATTTCTCTTCCAAGATGGTTCCTCAGTTGTGACTGGATGGTGGGGTGATGGAAAGATAGGAAGGACAGAACTTATCCTTCCAACATCCCTCCCCACCCTCCCGCCAACACCATCATCCAGTCACAACCATCACAGCTTCTTTGATGAGAAGTGAAATGTCTTCTTCTTTCTTCAGGGAAAAAAAAATAGTGCAGTTCCCTTTTGGGGACAAAAAAAAAACAACACCTCTGAAACAACTATGATCTGTATGTCTGAGGAATCTCCATGGACATTTATTCTGCAAAGGCATTTACCGTATTTTTCGGAGTATAAGACACACCAGAGTATAAGACGCAGCTTAGTTTTTGGGGAGGAAAATAGGGGGAAAAAAATCTGCCTACCAGGTATTCATCTGGCTAGCGTCCTTAGTCTGGTCAGCTTCAGCACATTAGTTTGCTGGTTTTTATCCCCTGCTTGGGGATAAAGAACAGCTTCTAAAGAAACAACTGATCTTTGGAGAGAGAAGCAATGAGAAAAGCAGGCAAACTAGGGAGATCGCTTCACTCGCTATCGCCTCGTTAGGGCTGAAAAAAAGCTTCACAGCTGAGAGTGGAGGGAGCAAGCAAAGCAGGGAAGCAGAGATCGCTTCACTCATAGCGCCACATTAGGGCTGAAAAAAAGCTTCACAGCTGAGAGTCGGAGGGAGCAGGCAAAGCAAGGAAGCAGAGATCGCTTCACTCATAGCGCCACATTAGGGCTGAAAAAAAGCTTCACAGCTGAGAGTCGGAGGGAGCAAGCAAAGCAGGGAAGCAGAGATCGCTTCACTCGCTATCGCCTCGTTAGGGCTGAAAAAAAGTTTCACAGCTGAGAGTCGGAGGGAGCAGGCAAAGCAAGGAAGCAGAGATCGCTTCACTCATAGCGCCACATTAGGGCTGAAAAAAAGCTTCACAGCTGAGAGTAGGAGGGAGCAAGCAAAGCAGGGAAGCAGAGATCGCTTCACTCATAGCGCCTCATTAGGGCTGGAAAAAAGCTTTGAAAAATTTTCAGCCTCTTTTTGGAGGGAAAAAAGTGTGTCTTATACTCCGAAAAATACGGTAAACTAGCAGGGAGACCAGGCCCATCTCCCGCAGACTTACTCCCTTCCATGTCCTCCGTCCAGTTGCGGCTGCTACTTGTGGGAGAGCTAGGGGAGGTGTAGTATTCGCCCCCAGGGCTGGTATCCAGATCATCCTCCATGGATCCTGACTTGTGCCGTTTGCTCCTTATGGGAAAAAAAAAGGAGAGACATGGTTTTAATAGCAATTTAAAAATCTAAGAACAGTCTCCTCTAACTACATCATTGTCTCTAAAAGCAGAATAACCCACTGCAATCCTCGACTTACAACCCCAATTGAGACCCACATTTCTGCTGTTAGGTGAGGCGTTTGTTAAGTGAGTTTTGTCCCATTTTATGACCTTTCTTGCTACAGTTGTTAAGTGAATCACTGCAGTTTGATAAGTTAGAAACGTGGTTGTTAAGTGAATCTGGCTTCCCCCATTGATTTTGCATGTCGAAACATTGTAAAAGTTGATCACATGACAGCAACAGTCATAAGTATGAGCTAATTGCCAAGCGTCTGAATTTTGATCCCATGATCATGTGGCTACTAATGGTCAGGTCACTTTTTTCAGTGCTGTTGTAACACTAAATGAACTTTGTAAGTCAAGGACTACCATGAAGGGCAACGGCTATCACAGAAGCTAAATTTTGAAAGGAACTTCCTCCTTTTTATACTTCATTGCTCTGGGTAATAATTCACTAAGTCCAAGAATTTAGGATTGCTCTGAGGAGCTTTACATGGTGAAATATGATTCCAAAGAGAGGCAAACGAGGTAAGAAGATCGAGACAAAGTAAACAAACTGCAACTATTCCCTTAACACAGTCCTAACATTATGGTGGAAGGAAAAATAAAGAAGAGAAGAGAAAATGGAAGACGTTTTGAAGAACAGGTGGTTTAGTAGCGAGCCTAGCACAAAAAGTAAAAGAAGAATTGTTTTAAGGGATAGGAACAAAAGACAGAACAATGACATATTGGGATATGTCAGTGGAATAATAAAAAGAAAAAAGGTAATGGAGGATTTCATAGGCATCTAAGAGCTCAAGAACGCCAAGATGGCAACCGTGATCATGTGACTGAAGTCCCACCCTTTTTTTCTCTGAAAGTTTGTGGATAAGGATTAGGACAGGGGTCAGCAACCTGCAGCTCCGGAGCCGCATGCGGTTCTTTGGGCCCTCTGCTGTGGCTCCCTGTCAGGTGATCCCACCACTGGCTGCCCCCCCCCCTCACTCTCCCCTCCCAGTCACTCCTCGCCTGGCCTGAGAAGGTAATGGCAATGGTGGCGGATGGAGAAGTGGCCAGGGTAGATACAGAGAGATACACACACAGAGAGAGAGAGAGAGAGAGAGAGAGGGGAGAGAGAGAGAGATGTCAAAAGGATTTTGTGGTTCCCAGTGTTTTTTAACAACTGGTTCTCTGCCTTAATGACCAGCTGGGTAGGTGTGGATAGGGGGGAGGGGGTCATGTGACTGGTGGAAGTGAGTGACATCGAGTTGGCCATGCCCACCCAGATTTTGTGGCTCCCGGTGTTTTCTTTTCTGTGGGAAATGGCTCCAAATGGCTCCTTGAGTATTTAAGGTTGCAGACTCCTGGATTAGGAGTTTGTGCAAAGTCTGGTGGCGAGTAGCAAACCAGGCAGGGAGTGAAGGAATTATAAAAGGTAAGAGCATATCATCTCCCCTAGTTGAACATTGACTAATCTATTGCAACAATAATAGCTTCCCCACCCCGTTCAAAGCAGGTCTAGAATGTATAAGCTTCTACATCTAGGATCCCTCCCTAGATGTATTTTGGTCTTTTGGTCTTTTTAATTCACTTTTTTAATGCTCTTGTCTAGTTTTGTTTTGTCTCTGTTAATTTTTCTTTTCTTTTTTGTATTTTAATCGTCTAAATAAAATAAAAATCGATTAAAAAACAAAAACAAAAGGTAAGAGCGTTCACAGCAGATCAGAGCTACATAGGAAAGAATTTTCCCCCCCCTAATTAAAAGGTGATGGAATTTCTAAAGGTTGAGATGGTAGCATTTTTGGCTCATAAGAGTATGTCACCAGATGATCACCTTTACAATTTCAGTTCTGATCCTAAGAGGACAGTAGAAGCGGTTGTTTCAATGATACGGAAAGAGCTGTCAAAGATTCCACCTTCCACTTTCTCAAGCAATTTGCATCCCAGATGTTTGAGACATGTGGATGTGATGTGGTTGAATAAGTCAGGATCATGATTCAGGTTGTTTCAAAAAGTGAGAAAGGAAGGAGAAAATTGGAGCGTGAAAGCTACAGGCTTCTAGCTTGAAACCCTACCTTTTACCTCAGTTAGAAGAAAGACTGCGTTAAATCAAAATCAGAAAAAGAGGATAACAGAGTTGGAAGGGACCTTGGAGGTCTTCTAGTCCATCACCCTGCTCAAGCAGGGGATCCTATACCAGTGATGGATAACCTGTTTCTCTTTGGGTGCCAAAAGAGCATGCAATAACGCACACATGTGCTGGCACCCATAATGCAATGCATGCACCACTGCGCATGCACGCATCACCCCCCCACGCCTCCTGCACATGTGCAAATGACCCCACCGCACCCCCTGCGTATGTGTGCAAGGGGTGGGATTCAAAAATTTTAGCAACCTGCCCCACGGCAGGGGGCTGGTCTCCCCAGGCTCCGGAGGCTTTTCTCAAGCCCTCAGGAGGGCAAAAATGGCTTCCCCTGGGCTCCGGAGGCCCTCCAGAGACCGAAAATGGGCTCTTTTCCAGACTTCTGGAAGGCCCGTTTTTCACCCTCCCGAGGCTTTCCCCGAGCCTGCGGGAGGGTGAAAACGGCCTTCCCCTGGGCTCCAGAGGCCCTCTGGAGGCCAGAAACGGGCCCGTTTCCGCATTTCTGGAATGTGCACGCCGCTCCTCCCGGCAACCCACGTACATCTCCTGCATGCACTCCGCTTCCTACCCATCCCAAAAATCAGCTTGCCGGCGGGAGGCGCGCATGCGCAATGGACCTGAGCTGGGCGACGGCTCGCATGCCTGCAGTGAGGGCTCTGCGTGCCAGCTGTGGCACGTGTGCCATAGGTTCACCATCACGGTCCTATACCATTCCAGACAAGTGTAATGTAAAAATCATACATTGACTGCAAATACAGGAAATCCTTGACCTACAGCAGTTCGTTTAGTGACCGTCTGAAATTACAGTGGCACTGAAAAAAGTTACTTACCACTGTTTTTCACACTTACAAACTTTGTAACATCCCCATGGTCATGTAATCAAGATTTGGATGCTTGGCAACTGGCTCATATTTATGACGGTTGCAGCATCCCAGGGTCATGTGATCCCCTTTTGCGACCGTCTGACAAGCCAAGTCAATGGGGAAGCCAGATTCACTTAACAACCTGGTCACTAACTTAACAACGGCAGCGATTCATTTAACAATTGTGGCAAGTAAGGTCATAAAATGGGGGTAAAACTCACTTAACAATTGTCTCGCTTAGCAACATCAATTTTGGGCTCAGTTGCGGTCGTAAGTCACGGACTATCTGTAACTAGAAAATAATTTCTAGTTGCAAGGAATGGCTGGATAAAAATCCTAATTCTTGAAGACCCCCTTCTGGATATCCCCCAATTTTGTGTGACCTGGCATCCTTCCTATTCCATCCCTTGAATCCTCAGTGGGGTAAAAATTTTATTCCATAAACACACACACACACGTAACCCATACAGAAGGAGGGAGGGAGGGAGAGGGGGGGAGAGAGAGGGAGCACGCAAATGTAGACTTACCCACTGGAGGAAGTGCTGGGGAGCGTCCGCCTCATCCCTGTACTTGAGGGATTCAGGTCGTATGCTAAGTGCCCTTGCAACTCTCCCAAAGAGAAATTTGGACCTGTGCCTGTCACCACTGGTGCTGTGAATGACAGAGGGAGAAGAACCATCAATTATAGGAAGGGATAATGAATGATTCATAAAACAATGATGCGGGATGGACTTCTTTGCTTTCATCAGTGGTGCTCTGTCAGAGAAGATGGCATTGTTTCTCAACTTTTTACTTTTACTTTACTTTTATTTGATTTGTATACCGCCCTACTCCCGAAGGACTCAGGGCGGTGAACAATCAACAATAAAATACATACATACAAAATTTAAAAAGCAGAAATAAAATCGAATTAAATAGTTTGGCCCAGACAGATTAAAACCCCAATCAATTTAAAACCAATTTAGACTTTAAGTATTCAAGATATTAAAAACGTTAAAATATTAAAATTGTTTAAAAGAGGGAGAAACTATGGCAACTGTAAGATGTGTGGGCTTCAACTCCCAGAATTCCTCAGCCAATACAACTGGGCTGGGAAATTCTGGGTGAAATCCAAACATCTTAAAGTGGTTGAGGTTGAGAAACACTGAATTAGACGGTCAAGTGGATGTGGGGAATGCTGGGAGTTGAAATCCACCCATCTTAAAGTGGCCAATAGAAACACTGGATTATGGAGTGAAGTGACGTGGTATAATGAAATAACTATACAGTATCTATAAATATGCACTATAAAAATAGGCCAATATACACATATATATCAGTGGTGGGTTGCTCCCGGTTCTGTCCGGTTCTTGTGAACAGGTAGTAAAAATGGCGGAAGGCTCCGCCCACCCGCCCGGGCGTCATAATAGATGATCTGCGCATGTGCAGAAGCTTCTGTGCGTGCGCTCCCATTGCAAACTGGTAGTAAAAGTAAGTACAACCAACCCTTGATACAGGGGTGAAACCCAGCAGGTTCTGGAGAACCGGTAGCAGAAATTTTGAGTAGTTCGGAAAACTGGTAGCGGAAATTTTGAATAGTTTGGAGAACCAGCAAATAACACCTCTGGCTGGCCCCAGAGTGGGGTGGGAATGGAGATTTTGCAGTATCCTTCCCCTGGAGTGGGGAGAGAATGGAGATTTTGCAGTATCCTTCCCCTGCCACGCCCACAGAACCAGTAGTAAAAAAAAATTGGATTTCACCACTGCCCTGATACATACACACACACGTATGTATGTATGTATGTATGTATGTATGTACGTACGTAACAGTTAGAACTGAAGAAGCTTCTTAGATGAGAAACGAAACGTTTTCAAAGAAAAAAAAACAAGAAAGTCCAGTTGCCTTTTGGAAAAAGGCACTTTTGAGACAACCATGAACCTGGATGATTGAGAATCTCCATAGACATCAGATTCTCTTGTCTATAGATTGCATGGAATAAATTCGCAATACTTTTGAACTCTATCTGGCTCCTGGTTTCGTGTGCCTGAAAGTAACTCCATCTTGCCTGGGTTCAGATTCAGCTTGTTTCCTCTCATGCAGAACCCAACAGATGATAGACAAAATTTCAACACTATAGCCATCTTGAGCATCATCAGAACCAACAGATGACTTTTCCCAGTAGCTGGGAGATAGATATTAAAAGTAAAAATACTGTAATTTTTACAGTATTATAATGGGGAAATGAAAATAAGGAAAAAGAATGGATTATATAAACAGTGTGGAAAAATTAGCAAATCCTACTCATGCCTGCATTTCAAACAATATAGCATAACTGACAAAAGTGAGAATTAAATAGGAAAAAAAAACTAATAAGGATACAAGTTACTCACTCCGGGAAACTTGGATAAGTTCTGTGACACTGAACACACCTGACGTAACAAAATTCTCTTGAAAATCTGCTGCATCTGCAAAAGAGATTTTGGACTCATTCAGAAACTGCTACAATAATCAGGTTTTTTTTTCTGAATTGTTCAACGTTTTCAGTGTCAGGTTTTGACTTACAGAAAGAAACTTCTTATACTATAAATCAGGTAATTAGCATTTAATCCTAAATATTCCAGACTGGATACTTTTTAAACTCTTTTCTCCCATTTATCAATTTTTTTAGACCAGAAAGAACAAGAGTCTGTGAAATCAGCCAGCCAAAGAAGTTTGACCGTAAAATAATTTAATATTTTATAACAGCCACTGGTTATGTCAGTTTTGGATGATGGAATAATAATTTTAACAGCATGAGGTTGAAGAAGGCCTTTATATAAAAAGTACCAAACTGAAGTAGTTTTTTTACAAGCTGGCTGTCAGTCCCCTTCTGAAACTCATTAGATGTCTGTATTTAACAATGACATGATTGGCTTTATTGATAGGTTTTCTCATTTGTCTCTTCCTCTTAAAAGTTGACCAAAGTTGAGAAACACAGATTTAGAGACTTGCTGACCGAAGCTGGTTGAAGATGTTCATTCCATGTTATCCTCAAGGCTGTGGTGGAATCTGATTTGGTTTGAAATAAATCAGTTTTTTGTTGTTGTTTTTTTACTAAATTGAGAAGGTGGGAAGAGACAGAACAGGACTCCAAACCAATCCTATTTCTAAGCCTGCCTTGAGGTGCTTCTCCATTACTAATTCATTTCCTGATTGGCTTAACCCTTGAGAGAATCCATCCTTCCATCAGTCGGTTCCAGAGAACCATCCCACCTAATTCTTTCAGGATTTGTACTGGAGGTCCAGGGAACCACAGACCGACAGCTTCATACATTCACCCACACCTTTCCTCTGTCCTTTTTTTGGTGTTGCTCACCCAGCGTGATTATGGGTTTACTATCCTCCTGGTCAGAACCGATTCCCGTCCTGGGACTGCTGCTTTGATCTGAATCTGAAAAGAAAAGAATTGCGCATTACATTTTACAGCTCTACACAACCGGGGTCTACACACATACACTTGTCTTCTTTTTGGTTTTGGTGTTGTTGTTTTTTCCCTTTCAAAAGTTGCTTTCCATAACCAAGAAGTTTAGAGCAGCATCCAAGGCTGGCTGACCAAAACACAATGTCAGAATTTCTTTAGGCAAAGTGAAGTGGCTTTTTCCCGACAGCCACTCATTTTGGGAGGCAAGAACATGAGTTAGTTTTAATATGATATTTTTGCTGTAAGGGAAAAAGATTTGTGTAAAGTTGGGGAGGGGGTCGGGTCTCCTGCCTGGTCATTCTCATATAACTTGTGGGATTTTAATATTAGACACATTGACTTAAAACACAGAACATAGAATCATAGGGCTGGAAGAGACCTTGGAGGTCTTCTAGCCCAACCCCCTGCACCCTTATACCATCCCGGTCAAGTGGTTGACTAGTCCATTTTTGAAAATCTCTAGTGATGGAATACACATAACTCCAGGAGGCAAGCTATTACATTAATTGTTCTCACTGTCAGAAAATTTCTCCTTACTTCCTAGTGGACAACCATTTAGATATGAGCCAGCAGTGTGCAGCAGCTGCCAAAAAAGCCAACACAGTCCTAGGCTGCATAAACAGAGGGATAGAATCAAGATCACGTGAAATGTTAATACCATTTTATAATGCCTTGGTAAGGCCACACTTGGAATACTGCATCCACTTTTGGTCGCCACAATATAAAAAAGATGTGGAGACTCTAGAAAGAGTGCAGAGAAGAGCAACAAAAATGATTAGGGGACTGGAGGCTAAAACATATGAAGAACGGTTGCAGGAACTGGGTATGAAAAGAAGGACTAGGGGAGACATGATAGCAGTGTTCCAATATCTCAGGGGCTGCCACAAAGAAGAGGGAGTCAAACTATTCTCCAAAGCACCTGAGGGCAGGACAAGAAGCAATGGGTGGAAACTAATCAAGGAGAAGCAACTTAGAACTAAGGAGAAATTTCCGGACAGTTAAAACAATTAATCAGTGGAATAACTTTCCTGCAAAAGGTGTGAATGCTCCAACACTGGAAATTTTTAAGAAGATGTTGGATAACCATTTGTCTGAAGTGGTGTAGGGTTTCCTGCCTAGGCAGGGGGTTGGACTAGAAGACCTCCAAGGTCCCTTCCAATGCTGTTATTCTATTCTACGTGGGATCTCTCTTTGACAAGCTTCCACCCATCACTTCTTGTCCTGTCCTCTAGTGCTTTGGGGTCAAGTCCCTCTTCTCTGGGTGAGCCCCTCTTGGGTGATGGCAAAGGACGGTCAGTGGCTGGGTCATCTCAGGCTACTAAACGCACCTCTTGGCAGCAACCTTTGCTAAGACCCTCAGTCTTCCTTCATCAAGGTAATGATGAACAGAGGCCGACCACAAGTCCAGGCCCTACTAGGTTGCTACAGCAACCGCCAAACACTAATGGGTGCTTGGAGTAATGTAATTTTTGCAGTAATGGCTGCCCTCCTCCCCATAATCAGCCCTCCCTTGACAGCACTCACTTGGCAGCCCGGGTGGGTGATTAACGAGCCTCCAATGCAGATGAGGCGTCTCCCTCCTCGGCCTCCCTTCCCTTCCTCGGCTCTCAGCCACGCAGGCAACACCTGACCTCAGAACTCTGTTGGTGCCACTAAAGCCAGGCATGTGATGCCACTAAGGATCCTAACCCCGTGCTGTCTATTTGAGCATGATGAAATAAACATTGCCCATTGATGCAATCCTTCCCCCTTAGAGATGGGGAACACATGGGACGGTCTTTGGCTGTATTTGCTCTTCTCCCTGCAAGGTTGGGTAGAGATAGATTCTGTTGGGTCTCAAAGTAATTTGGTACAGGGCAGCAACAAAATTTCTGACTCTCCTTTCAAGACCAGCAATATCCAAGAATCCTTTCCCAGAGAAATCAAGTTGCTGAAAAGGAATGCAAGAACTGGAGCTTGCAAAGACTGAGTGGCTGTGGTTTCCGACGTCCCGATATAGCCAGTTGACGCCACCACTGACTATTGGGGGCGAATCATTGGCCCCCACGGAGAGGGCTCGCAACTTGGGCGTCCTCCTGGATTCACGGCTGTCTTTAGAAGAGCACTTGACGGCCGTGACCGGGAGGATTTTTTATCAGGTCCGCCTGATTCGCCAGTTGCGTCCCTTTCTGGATCGGGACTCGTTACGCACGGTCACTCATGCCCTCGTCACCTCCCGCCTGGACTATTGTAATGCTCTCTACATGGGGCTCCCCTTGAGGAGCACCTGGAGGCTCCAACTGGCGCAGAGTGCAGCCGCGCGGGTGGTAATGGGAGCGACATGGCGCTCCCATGTAACACCTCTCCTGCGCGAGCTGCACTGGCTCCCAGTGGTCTTCCGGGTGCGCTTCAAGGTTTTGGTTACCACCTTTAAAGCGCTCCATGGCTTAGGGCCTGGTTATTTATGGGACCGCTTACTACCACCAATAGCCTCCCACCGGCCAGTACGCTCTCATAGAGAGGGACTCCTCCGGGTGCCGTCAGCCAAACAGTGTCGACTGGCGGCCCCTAGGGGGAGAGCCTTCTCTGTGGGGGCACCTACCATCTGGAATGAGCTCCCCCCAGAGATACGGAGGATCCCGGATCTGCGTTCCTTCCGCCGTGCTGTGAAGACCTTTTTATTCCATCAAGCGGGCTTGGCCTGATCTCTTCCCTTTTTAAAATATGTAAATTTTAATCTGTTTTTAAATTATTGGGGTATTTTAATTTGTCTGGGCCAAAAAGTTTAATTTGATTTTATCGGGTTTTTAAATTTTGTGTATTTATGTATTTTATTGTTGGCTGTTCACCGCCCTGAGTCCTTCGGGAGTAGGGCGGTATACAAATCAAATAAAACCTAAACCTAAAACCTAAAGAGGGAGGGAGAGAGACACCAGAAAATAATTTTTGTGTAAAGGAATTTGTGTGGGCTCTTTGGTTCTGATTGCGCTGAGAGATACTTTTTTCTGAAGGCTCAAATCATGGATTATTCCACGGGCCACTTTGGGGCAATTCCTGGAGTGCCGGTACTATCTCCCGCTGTTCCTAGTGTCACCTTTCAGCAGAGTTGATTTTTGTAGGGGCATCGCAGCCTGAAATCTCAAATTGCAGGACTTTAATTTTGAATTTTGATACTCCCAAATTCCATAGAGTTGGTGGAAACTCCCACTTGGAATCGCCTCCCTAGTTCCGTGGCTCTTTTTCCTACTCCACATGGCAATGCTTTCAAAACGCCATAAAGTTCTCATAACTGCACGCCAGCGATTTTGGAGTGGTTTCTGCCTCTTCCCCTCCCCCAAGGCCCCCTCTCCAAAACCTGATGGACGTTGAAAAAATGATGAGAGACGAGGGCCATTTTTTAGCACACTTCTACGTGTGGCTAAAGGGAGAGCCCTTGTTATTAGGGCTGTGGTGAGTACGATTGGAAGCTGTTGAGAGAATAAATGCAGGGTTCACAGAGTGATGAGTGTGGCTGTGTAAAAATGCCCATACAGGTAGTCCTCGACTTACGATCACAACTGACCCCGAAATTTCCATTGCCAAGAAAGGCAGTTGTTAACTGAGTTTCATCCTATTTTATGAGCTTTTTTGCCACAGTTGTTAAAGGAATCACTCCAGTTGTTAAGTAAATCATGCAGTCGTTAAGCGAATCTGGCTTCCCCCTTGACTTTGCTTGTCAGAAGCCGGCTGGTAAGGTTGCAAATGGTGATCTTATGATCCCAGAACAGTGCAACTGTCATAAATGCATGCCAATTACCAAATGGACGAATTTTAATCATGTGACCAACAGGATGCCGTCACGGTTGTAAGTGTGAAAAACGGTCATAAATCTCTTTTTTCAATGCTGTTGTAACTTTGAACGGTCACTAAACGAATGGTTGTAAGTCAAGGACTACTTGTAGTCTGCTATCTGAGCCACTGTTTTGCAGCAAGAAACTACAGTCTGAGAAGACTGTAGTAAAGAACAAAAGAGCTTCTTGTAAGTTTGAAACTTGCTGATTACTCAGATGGTAGCAACTGAGTAACATGCTGGCTGGGGAATTCTGGGAGTTGAAGTCCACACATCTTAAAGTCACCAAGTTTGGGTGGTTTAAACGCACCAGCGTGCCTACTGTCCCTGTCCTAATGTTTCCTTTTATTCGTATCCATTTCATGTATTTATAATTATGTTTACACTTGTATCTGTCATAAAATACATGCTTGATGAAATAAAATAAAAAAATCTGCATGCAGTCTTCTGAATGAAAAGCATAATTTCTCCTCCTAATCTAGCAGCATTCGCATTGCATCATTCTTGCAGAGATCCTGCTCTTAACCACGTCCAGCTAGTTCCCTTCTCAAAGGAAATGCACTTTGCACACAGTCAGGTGCCCTTTTTGCTCTCTGTTTTTAAGAACTTTTTTTAAACAGAGGGAAGAAATGCTGATGCCGGGGGTCGTACCATCAAAAGGTACTTCTATGACCCTTCTCCAAAACCATCCAGAAATTGGCAGACTTAAGACTAGGGGAGGTGATTAGATCACTCTGGAAGTTCCTTTGAACGTGACCAGTTTTGAATCAAAGGCAAGGGCTGAACCTCTCGACTTGAGGGAAGAGCCAGAGGGGCTTCTGCAGACAGCAGGAGCGAAGGCCACCCTCCTCTCTTCCACCCTTCCCACCTCCTGCTTTCCCTTCCCTCATCAGAAATACAACTCACGCCTCACATGGGCTGCATCCCAGAACTCCTCGTTCTCTCTCTCTCTCTCTCTGCTTTTCATCTTATCTAAAAATAATCAAGCTCTTTGGGCAGTCGGTGCAGACGCTGAGGTCAGCACTATAGGTTCCTACTAGCATCCTGGATTAGCCAACACACCACCTCCTCCTTTCAATTGAGTCTCTTTTTACTTTCTCCCCATAGCACGGACACACATACACACACACTCACTCACACACAGAGACATCCCTCACTTTCT